ATATACATGACCTCTGTAATTATGATTGATTCAGATAATCAATCAAAGACAGTATAATTTCAATGTAGGTGTAACTAATACACCCAAATAACTATCAGTAAACATTCCTACATATAATATAATAAATGGTACAATGGTTTATCTACTTATGAAATGTATATAACACCTATACAAATAGGAAGTATTCAAAATATCCATACTTATTTGATAAACACTCTTAATTGAATAAATTTAGATTAGAATAGATTATTTGACATTGAAATTACTGTACAGAATTCATTATATCTCCTTCTTTAATCCTACGTTTAATTTTCATTTAAGTAAATTAACTCTGTATAAATGTGATTTATTATGGGTTGTTTGCTTTCTACAATGCAATTAACATTTTTGATTGTTATTAGTTCATGAGTACCATTAATAAGTTTCGACTTAATAATTTTAACTACATTGATTATTAAGTAGATGGTAAGTAATTGTAAAGACAGTCCATGGGTGAACTCAAGGAAGCTCAGAAAGAGCTGAAGATATTCCATTCAATCATCTTTTGGAAGAATATTCCAGAATCTCGACGTGTAGTTTCCCTGTTGGACAAATGTTAAAAACCAATGTATACGGAATGAATGACGGTAATGATGGTTTCGTCTTGCTAAAAATAAAATAAATAGGTAACCGAATTAAATTAAAGAATTAGCATATTTGAAATGTGAAGCAGTCTTTTAATTTGTTGCCAGGGTGATTATAATTTGTTAATTAAACTATAAGACTTCTAATGGTTATACCTATTGTTTATAGTCAGGATTGAATTGAATCGGTTTCCTAAACTCTTCTAATAACCCATAGGACAAATCTATACGACAACTTGAGCACGAGAGAAAAGACTTGAAGTACGAAAAGAAGGCTTTACTCCAAAATTAGTTCATGTACAGAAAATCGAGGGTGTTTGAAGTATTTCACATAAAATGTTTCTCAGCGTTTCCAGGGACCCTCTTGACCTTTTCAAGGCATTATTTCGATCTCCTCAATGAGTTTTTTTAAAAATGTAAAACTGGCTAGTATGTGATGAATACATGTCACATACGATTGGGAACAAAAATCACTTTCCTATATCGTTCACAGTGCAATTGTTTAAGTTATTACTCACCATATCAGTCTTAATACATTTGTTATTGTTTAATCCTCAAATATAATTTATTCGAATGAAAATTCAATACCCCATCGTGTATCGATGATTACTGTGATTCTATTCTTGACTTCATATTTTAATCAGTAATAAGTATTCAGTTATATCAATTTTATGTGATGTTTATACTGTTTGATAAATTTTTGTTTATTTATTAATTATTGTATTTATACAATCTGTATGGAAATCAATGGATTCAACGATTAATAATCTTTACCAATACATCTTTATTGTAAGACTTCAATAGAGTGGATTAGATGGGAACTTCACTTCACCTTTATTATTTAATGTATCCAGAGCTAGAAAGGGAAAAGATGTTATGGTATCCTGATATCTAACGATCATTTAAGAGTTATCGCTATTAACATAGAATATATAGACATTCGATTTGATTCAGAATGATCATATTCTGTTGAATTCATGATTTGTCCGATTAAAAATGTTTCAGTTGGATTCGTTATCATATTGGTTAATAAAGTTTACGGTTATTGTCATTATTATTACTATTATTATTATCCTTTTACTACACTCACTATGCTATAATTCATTATATTGTTCTGACAAAATTATTTTAACAATGCATTCCTTTGATTTTCTTTCCTTATGCTAACGGTATTAACAAAATAGTCGATGATTCAACTTCACACTTGATTTATAATTAAATTGTATTTGTATTAAATTACTCTTTTATCTTTATCAGAATGGGGATTGGTGAAGATTGTAGTAATTTTAATAGTTGAATTCATGAGTCGATTTAAGCTAGACCACCGTTGAAAACCTGGAAGCAGTGGACGACCGTTTCGTCCTAGTATGGGACTGCTTAGCAGTGCCTATCCACGATCCCACACATGGGACTGGAACCCAGGACCTTTGTTCTCGAGCATGAATCGGAGATCATTTTTGTTGTTCAGTATTCAAAAAGAATAAGTGGAATATCATGATCCCTTTTTAGATAAGAATTAATGTTACAAATTATAATTTAGGAATTAAATGGCAAAATATAAATTTTCCAGTAAAACTTATTTTTAAGAAAATGTATTACTTAAAACGATTATTTGTTCATGGCATTAATTTACTCTAGCGACGATGTAATAACAATGTACTTGAAGGACTGTTGATATTTTACTGTGTCAAAACTGTAGTTCCTTTGACATAGTTAATTTAACGATAGTTTACGTGATGGTTTAACCTTTATTTACAGAAACTTTGAAAATGAATAACCTGTTCATAACTATTTGGTCATAGTAAGTGATAAGATGAAAAAATTCACTGGTTCAAATATAACACAGAGTTCATGGATTCTATAGGTCTTCAGTTTGATCTTTAAAGGTATCGTTGAAATGAAAAGTGATGAAGTCTTATCAAGAATAAAACAACTGAACAAATTTACATAATTTGTGATATCTCCTTAACTGAAATCATTGTATAATCTCAACAATCTTTCCTACAAACCTTCTAGATTGATGATTAATTTAGTTATCATTAACATTTTTGTTGAAAATGATTTAACTGAATAAGGAGCTGAGGTTTTTGTTTTGTCTAATAAACAATTATCTTTCAAACATTCATTTGAATGATTCAAATTACTTTGAAAATCAGTAGTTTTTCATAACACTTAAATAGTAACCTTGTTCATAATTACATTCAATCCATTTGTATCAATTAATAGTGATATTTTGGTGAGAATATAATTTATGGATAACCTTTGAGCAACTCTAGATTGAACTTGAGTGTGTCCACCTAATAACCACGACCAATTGATTTGTGGATGATGGTTAAGGTTAGAAATTAGATTTAGGGTTTTCATCACGAACTGACATCAACTATAATGCCGAAACTATTTAGTCAAATAGATGAGTGACTTTCGCGCCAAAATGCGATACCTGTTTTCTTATACCTGATTGGTTCATCCATAAATTATAGTCTCGCCGATGTTTTAAAATTTTCATTTAATTCACATTTTACGGCTGAAATTCAAAGAAGAAGTGAATACACCATAGAAGTTATTCATATACATGATGGTTTATTAATACAGATAAAAATAATTTTATATTTTTATCGGTTAATTGATGAGTAGTAATCAATGTCATGTTCATTTACTCTTTAGTGCTAATTGAATTTTATTCATCAAGTTACCATGTGGTCATTGAACTAAGTGTGTTGACAATACGGTTATTGGAAGCGGTCAGTAAGAAACTTCAGACGTAGCATTCTCTTCAGTTGGGACTTATCAGTCAAACCACGAACCTAAATGACTTGAATTCAGATCCTACATGAATACCAGTTCTCTGAAGTGTAAGGGTACTCCTAAATGACGATTCGCAACTACCATGAAATCTTCCTCAAGCAGATTCTCCCTGACTACCTCCAATTATATTACACAAAATCTATTTGTTAAGCGGTTCAATATCATTTTCTTGGTTTATTTACCACCTAAAAACGTCACTGAAAGTGATGGTATCTCGAAATTATTATTTTCGTTCTAGCATTTCACGGATAACTCGACGATACTGTGTTATAATTATTCGTTGAACAACAAATTCCTAAACAGGATAGACTTTTTTGCTAAAACTAACAAATATTCTATTTCCACCTTCACGTCCATTGTAGGATGAAGATTCCATCAAGTTAAAGACTTTATACTGATAAACCACAACGAATCCATTGTGAAAAAAAAGAAAAGGAGAATGGAAAACTCTGTGACCTGTCTCATGGAAATTATTGCTCTAAATGTTTTTAGCATGAAATAACTAACAATTGGTTTATGGTTTTCTTATTCACCTAATCATAAGTTTGTGTCTGATCTATAAACTGTTGTTACTAACTTCTTTCGCAATGTAGTGAAACTTAATTATGAACACTGTATTCCCAATTTTTATCATAAACGTCTTATTTTTGGCAGTCATTTTATTTTCTTAATTATTGTACTTTGTGTTCTAGTTATTTATACATTTATTCATCTATATATTCAAGCTTGTTAATGATCAGGTATAGAGTTTGTACTACTGTTTGCATAACAGATTATTAGTCAAGACGGTGAGATTATAATTTATGGATGAACCAACCAGATACAAGACTTTGGAGCGAAATTCACTCAATACATTTGGTTAAACAGATTTTCAGCATTATAGCTGATGTCAATTCGTGGTGAAAAACCTAAATCTATTTCTCAACCTTAATCATCAAATGTAAATTATGATTCTAATTCCACACACCGGTTTATAACCCTCATTTGGTCGTAGTTATTAGGTGGACACTCTCAAGGTCAGTCTAGCGTCGCCCAAAGGTCGTCCATAAATTATAGTCTCGCAGTCAAGACATAAAGATAGTTTGCCAGGAAGGTAAAATTAGCTGTCCAACTCACATGTTGCATAAGAAGGTAAAATTAAGTGGCCTAGTGTGTCAAGGATGTTTATAAATTATGATCCACCTACCTGGAATTGTGGTGTACGCTACTTATGTCTACAGATAAAAGTAGTATGTAGCACCAATCGGAAGTTAAAACCCTGGCAGCAGAAGGCTAAGGAGATCAAGTTGGAAAGAAAACAGAAACGGAAATAGAAAAGAATTGTGACTTGGAACAATCATACAGAATATGAAGGATAAATGATGGAATTTTGAAAGTAAATTATCCAACATATGGTTCTCATATTTTTCCAAGAGATTCTGTAATTTTTGTACGAAAATACATTTGGTCGTTCCCACCTGAGTGTTTATTCATCACAGTACATCTGACGTCAGAACTACTGAGGATCCAAGGTTAGCACAAAGTTTTGTTTATGAGGATGAAAGATTATTTATTCTATTCAAAATGACTCACTTTTCTTTTTTAACCTTCATACCATTAAGATAATCTACTATGGAAGACATTGTACAGTACAGTTCAAAATGGAGTCACGATGCATTGATTTTTATCCAAATTTCGAATTATATCTCAGTTCATAATTTTCATTCTTCACTTATATTCATTAGTTTTAAGCTGTATTTTTAATTTTTGAACAAAGTCAAAGTGTTTTCACTCTTTCTTTCCTTTATTTCTTATTTCATAAATGTAATATCTCTCTCTCTCTCTCTCTCTCTCTCTTTAGGTATACACATTCATTCTAGGTTTTTACATTGTCTATAATTGATAGCTGACTACTAAATGTTCCATATATTGAAATATATTTACACACACACACACACATACACACACACACAATTTTGTACATTATTTAGACATGCGTGATAAAATAGATTAGATTAAAACAAATTTATTTGAATTCAATTATTCATTATTCCATAGACTTATTGATAGTAGTAATGAAACCATGTGTATTCAATGTTGAAAGCAACGAGTTAAAAACAAAAAATAACGAACAACAATCAAGCATATTTCCAAGAATAATTGCTAGACGGTATAAACATTCATTTAAACTGTTAAAAAGATCTTTTCTAATAGAGCATTATTTTTAATTGAATATGACACCTTTCTTTTTCTACAAATTTCTATACATATATTTATTATTGTTTTTATTATCATTATCAGAATGGGGATTGGTGAAGATTGTAGTAATTTTAATAGTGGAATTCATGAGTCGATCTAAGCTAAACCGTAATTGAAAACCTAGAAGCACTGAACGGCTGTTTCGTTTCAATATGGGACTCCTGAGTAGTGTACATCCATGATTCTACACATGGGACTCGGGCCCAAGACCTTTGCTTTCGCGCACGAACGCTTAACCTCTAGACCTTAAGATCATGAATAGATTTGAAGTTAGACATTAACATCGTTGGATGCCAGCAATAACACAGTTGTGTTTTTCCAAAATAGATATTCAATTGAGAATAATAGTAATGCAATTAGATGAAATAAACCGGCGAGACTATAATTTATGGATGAACCAATCGGATATAAGATAACAAGTCTTGGGTTTTGGCGCGAAATTCACTCATCTATTTGACTAAATAGTTTCGGCATTATAGCTGATGTCAATTTGTGATGAAAACCCTAAATCTAATTTCTAACCTTAACCATCATCCAGAAATCATAATTCTAATTCCTCACCCCTGGTTTATAAGCCTCATTTGGTTCTAATTAGTAGGTGGCCATTCTCAAGATCAGTTTAACATCGCTCAAAGATCTTCCATAAATTATAGTCTCACCAATACATCATAGAAATCAATTACAAATCTTAGTATAGATACGCTGGCTTGATTACATTTTTTTTGACGTCGATGATTTAGTACATGAAAACAAGTTCTATTTGATATATTTAGAAAGCGAGATAAATGTCACTTACGTTTAACAATAAATGATTATTTCACTAGTTTGTATATTTAAAATGTAAAGTACCCTGCCTGAAATAGATAAATCATTTAGAAGTAGCAAACTGTTTGACTTTTTCTATCATGCAGTTTCTTTAACCATATTCAACTGACTTAAGGCAGATTAATTTTTACAGTTTAAAATCAGTAACAAGAAATTTTTTTTTAAATTGTGTCACCTAATTTCGTAGGTTAGTTGAAGTTAGACATTAACATCATTGGATACGGTCTAGAGGTTAACGTTCGCTCGCGAGACCGGTAGATCCTCTGTTCGAATCTCGCGTAGCGGGGTCGTGAATAATCGCCGCTGTGGAGTCACACAATAACACGAAACAGCCATCAAGTGGTTCCAGGTTTTCAATGGTGGTCTACAATTTTCTCATGATCTCAACTATTAAAATTATTATAATATCCATAGAAACCCCTTCTAATATGACTTAGTTAAAAATAAGTTAATTTAGAAAATTCACACTTAACATAATTTAAATCCATAGGATATAACTAATGAGATGTAATTCAATACGTTTATTCTGTAATATTTAATGGCTACAACTTAAATCTAAGGGTGTTTTTCATTCATTATAGTATGTCATATTACAGTGAATACTTCAATGATAGATTAGTAAATAACATACACTTTAAATCTGTTAATATCAACGTTAGATTATCATTTTATTGAATTCTTAAACTTAATTAAAACAAAATTAAATTTTATAGTTTTACATTATTGACTGACTTTATAGTAGAGAAACGATTAAACCTAAGAAGTATTAGATATTTATTTCGTTTTATTATATGATTTCTTAGTAATGTACATTAATGATTTTGTCAGGAATGGAATGCAAACAGGACTGTTGAGCCTCATGATGAGCTCTACGATTTTATATTAGTGAGTTGACGTCTAGTGGTTTGGATTTCTAATTTTAATTAATTCATGGTACTTAATTAGTTATGCCTGTTACTCTTCGTGAAGGACCATAGGCCGCTCATCAACATTCCCAATCCAACTATGTCTCAAGCAATACTTTCCAGTTCTAATTCATCCTTTTCATGTCTGCTTCCAGTTGTCGATTCAGTGTTTTCTATGGTCTTCTACTTTTCCATTTCCCTTCAGGATTCCAGGTTAGTGTCTGTCCCGTAATGTAATTTGATAATTACCTTGATATGTGTCCTATCAACTTCCAACATTTCCTAATTGCCTCTTCAGTTGAAAGCTGGTCTGTCCAGTCCCACAGTAGACTGTTGATGACGGTATACTGTCAACGGGCATTCAGTATCTTGTGTAGACAACTGTTTATAAATAATTGTACGCTTTTATGACGGAGAATTCTGGTCGGCAGCCTATGTTCCATTGGGAGTAACAGGCGTAATTAAGTAAGTTTCATGATAATTGTGGTAGTTTTCGAACTTTCAGCTTCGTATATTAGAACTATGTTTACGTTTATATTGAAGATTTTGACTTTGATATTGTTTGCAGACAGTTGTTTTGAGTTGTATATGTTATTCAATTGTAGGAGTGCGACCCTTGTTTTGCCAATCCTCGCCTTTGCGTCCGCATTCGATCCTCCTTGTTCATCGATAATGCTTCCCGGGTACGTGAATGATTCCATACCTTCCAGGGCTTTTCCATCAAGTGTGAGTGGGTCGGTGTTCTCCATGTTGCATTTGACGATCTTGCTTTTTCCTTTGTGCATGTTGAGGCCTACTAATGCAGAGGCAGCTGCTACACGAGTTGTCTTCATTTGCATTCGTTTGTGTCTGTGGGATAGGAGGACCTGGTCATTTATGGTATTTCACGGTTTTTATCCATTGTGTCACTCTCAACATGGTTAACCTTCACTGACTGTCGTTTCTAAGTAGAACTCCAGGAGAACCTCTTAAAGTTAGTCAGTATTAAACAAAACCTTCTATTTAAACAAACTTAAATATACAAGATCAGTAATGATACCGAATACTTGTTTCAATGATTTCACATTTATTTTGGAAGTATAAATATACATTCTATGTTATATTTAGTTAGTAATTACAAAATGCTTAAATAATTAACGTTACCACTTCTACTCTTTATACTACTACTACTACTACTACTACTACTACTACTACTACTACTAATAATAATAATAATAATAATAATAATAATAATAATAATAATAATAATAGTAATTATATCAATTGTTTTAAGTTTCTTATACATTATTCATTATCTTAATTATTGGCACCATTTTTCAATTTCGGAACTAATTCATTATAAAATCCTATGATTTACAAATTATATTTTTCTAATGAAATATCAAAGAACACATTACGTCTGGAATGACAACTGGAAAGAGCTAGAAATTATTGCCCAGGACATGATTGGATGAAGAATGCTAATGAGCGGCCTATGCTCCTTCACGAAGAGTAACAAGCGTAATTAAGTAAGTAAGTAAGTAAGTAAGTAAGCAAGTAAGTAAGTAAGTAAGTAAGTAAGTAAGTAAGTAAGTAAGTAAGTAAGTAAGTAAGTAAGTAAGTAAGTAAGTAAGTAAGTAAGTAAGTAAGTAAGTAAGTAAGTAAGTAAGTAAGTAAGTAAGTAAGTAAGTAAGTAAGTAAGTAAGTAAGTAAGTAAGTAAGTAAGTAAGTAAGTAAGTAAGTAAGTAAGTAAGTAAGTAAGTAAGTAAGTAAGTAAGTAAGTAAGTAAGTAAGTAAGTAAGTAAGTAAGTAAGTAAGTAAGTAAGTAAGTAAGTAAGTAAGTAAGTAAGTAAGTAAGTAAGTAAGTAAGTAAGTAAGTAAGTAAGTAAGTAAGTAAGTAAGTAAGTAGTAAGTAAGTAAGTAAGTAAGTAAGTAAGTAAGTAAGTAAGTAAGTAAGTAAGTAAGTAAGTAAGTAAGTAAGTAAGTAAGTAAGTAAGTAAGTAAGTAAGTAAGTAAGTAAGTAAGTAAGTAAGTAAGTAAGTAAGTAAGTAAGTAAGTAAGTAAGTAAGTAAGTAGTAAGAAGTAAGTAGTAAGTAGTAAGTAAGTAAGTAAGTAGTAGTAAGTAAGTAAGTAATAGTAAGTAAGTAAGTAAGTAAGTAAGTAGTAAGTTAGTAAGTAAGTAAGTAAGTAAGTAGTAAGTAAGTAAGTAAGTAAGTAAGTAAGTAAGTAAGTAAGTAAGTAAGTAAGTAAGTAAGTAAGTAAGTAAGTAAGTAAGTAAGTAAGTAAGTAAGTAAGTAAGTAAGTAAGTAAGTAAGTAAGTAAGTAAGTAAGTAAGTAAGTAAGTAAGTAAGTAAGTAAGTAAGTAAGTAAGTAAGTAAAGTAAGTAAGTAAGTAAGTAAGTAAGTAAGTAAGTAAGTAAGTAAGTAAGTAAGTAAGTAAGTAAGTAAGTAAGTAAGTAAGTAAGTAAGTAAGTAAGTAAGTAAGTAAGTAAGTAAGTAAGTAAGTAAGTAAGTAAGTAAGTAAGTAAGTAAGTAAGTAAGTAAGTAAGTAAGTAAGTAAGTAAGTAAGTAAGTAAGTAAGTAAGTAAGTAGTAAGTAAGTAAGTAAGTAAGTAAGTAAGTAAGTAAGTAAGTAAGTAAGTAAGTAAGTAAGTAAGTAAGTAAGTAAGTAAGTAAG